CACAGTGACTTGTGCCTGTAATTCTAGCACTTAAGGAGGCCAAGGTGGGTAGATCACAAGGTCAGGAGTTCGAAACCAGCCTGGCAAATATGGTGAAACCCTGTCTACTAAAAATACAAAAATTAGCCAGGTGTGGTGGCGTGCGCCTGTAGACCCAGCTACTTGGGAGTCTGAGACAGAAGAATAGCTTGAACCCGGGTGGTGGAGGTTGCAGTGAGCCAAGATCACGCAACTGCACTCCAGCCTGTGGGACAGAGTGAGACTTTATCTCAAAAATAGGGCCGGGCGCAGTGGCTCACGCCTATAATCCCAGCACTTTGGGAGGCTGAGGTGGGCAGATCACCTGAAGTCAGGAGTTTGAGACCAGCTGGACCAACATGGAGAAACCCTGTCTCTACTAAAAATACAAAATTAGCTGACTGTGGTGGCGTACGCCTGTAATCCCAGCTATTTGGGAGACTGAGGCAGGAGAATTGCTTGAACCCAGGAGGCGGAGGTGGCAGTGACCTGAGGTCGTGTCATTGCACTCCAGCCTGAGCAAGAACAGCAAAACTCCGTCTCAAAGAAAAAATAATAATAATAATAAATCGGCCGGGCACAGTGGCTCATGCCTGTAGTCCCAGCACTTTGGGAAGGTGAAGCAGGAGGATTGCTTGAGGCCAGGAATTGGAGGCCAGCCTAGGAAAAAAATGAGACCCTGTCTCTCCTAAAAATGAAAATATTGCCAGGCGCTGTGGCTCATGCCCGTAATCCCAGCTCTTAGGGAGGCAGAGGTGGGAGGATAGCTTGAGCCCAGGAGTTCGAGACCTGCCTAGGCAATATAGCGAGACCCCATTCTTTTAAAAAATTTTTTTTAATTTAAAAAAAGAAAATATTAGCTGGGCATGGTGGCTCATGCCTGTAGTCCCAGCACTTTGGGAAGGTGAAGCAGGAGGATTGCTTGAGGCCAGGAATTGGAGGCCAGCCTAGGAGGAAAATGAGACCCTGTCTCTCCTAAAAATGAGAATATTAGCCGGGCATTGTGGCTGATGCCTGTAGTCCCAGCTACTCAAGAGGCTGAGGTGGGAGGATTGCTTGAGCCTGCGAGGTCCAGGCTGCAGTGAGCCCTGATCATGCTGCTGCATTCCAGCCTGGCCCACAGAGCGAGACCCTGTCTCTTTAAAAATATATGAGTTAATTCAGAGAAAAATGCATACTCTGTCAGTTTTTCAAACTGAGCCAGAAATCCAGAGCCCCTTTGTTTTGATTTATTCACAAGTCACAGTCATAGCTTCACGTCAGGGATGCATTCAGAGGTGTCCTCAGGCAGTTTTGTGGTTGTGCTGATGCACTGGGTTGTTCTTACACACCCTGGATAGACAGCCTGCTGCACGCATGGGCCGCATGGTTCAGCCCGGTGTTCTTGGGCTGCAAACCTATGCTCAGTCCTGCAGGCACTTGTAACCCAGTGGTATTTATCTGTAAATGTAGAAAAGGCACAGCAAAAATACAGTCGTGGCCAGGTGCGGTAGCTCACGCCTGTAATCCCAGCACTTTGGGAGGGTGAGGCTGACGGATCACCTGAAGTCAGGAGTTCAAGACCAGCCTGGCAGCATCGTGGAAACACCCCCTCACACACACAGTCTTTACTAAAAATACAAAAATTAGCCAGGTGTGGTAGTAGGTGTCTGTCATCCCCACTGCTCGGGGAGCTAACACAGGAGAATCACTTGAACCTGGGAGGCGGAGGTTGCAGTGAGCCTAGGTGGTACCACTTTACTCCAGCCTGGGTGATAAGGCAAGACTGTGCCTCAAAATATATACATACATATTAAATAAAAATACAGTTGTAATCTGATGGGACCACTGTCAGGTATGTGGCCTGCCACTGACTGGAGACGATTCTGTAGGTGGCAGTGATGGCTGTTTGGGAAATCTGAGTCCATTTCATTTGAGGGAACCCCCAAGGTTATCTGACTGTGGCCTCTGATAAACCTCTCAGATTTGGACAGTTCGTTGCCAAATTGGGTTCAGGATGTTGGGGTGTGTTGGGGGTGGGAGGGAGGGGTCACACTCCCAGAGGCCCCCCGGCACCAGTGTGACTGCCGCCTGCAGTGCTGACAGCTACGTGCCCTGCCTGTCCAGGTTGGTGCTGAGGACATGGATGGCTTCCAGGCAGACACGGAGGAGGAGGAAGAGGAGGAGGGCGACTGTATGATCATGGACATCCCGGATGCTGCGGGTGAGAAGGGCTCTAGACAGCAGAATGCACTGGTGAGGTGGGCACAGGAGGTGAGCCTCAACAGGGAGGGGATGGGGCCACCAGGAGGGCTTGTGGCTGGGAGTGGCTCCCACCCTGCCGCATCCTCGGACGGGCTGGGACCTGGGTGCTGACCATGCCAGGCACCCTTGTGGCCGCAGAGCCGAGAGGGCCTGTGCTGGGAGTCTCAGGTGGGATGGGGTCAGAGAAGGCTGCACTGAGGCAGGAAGGAGGGCCAGGTGGATTTCTGGAGTGCTCCCTAAAGAAGTACAGAGGCCCTGCGGCAGGCTGAGTTGAAGGAGTGTGCTCGAGTGGCAGCCAGCAGGGTCAGCCTGAGGGCAGGTGATCACCTCTACAAGGGGGCACAGTGCCCTAGCCTCCGTCTGTGGGTGGAGGGTCCCGCCCCCTGGGCTGTCACAGGCACCAGGAGGCAGCAGGGTGGGGTCTTCCCCCAGGGAGCCTGGTGGGCACAGCCAGCTCAAGACCCTGCCTCTCTCACCCTGCAGAGGTCCAGGCCCCGTGTGGCACCGCTTCTGGAGATGGGGGTGCTGTGGGGGTGGACGCTGGCAAGGCCGCCCTGCCCTCAAGCCCACTGGGTGCCTCTTGAGAGCCGTGGTGACGTATGTAGAACGCTTAGGGCGTCCTCCCCCCGGAGCAGATACTTGAACCGACTTGATTCCTGTGTAAAGAGCACTTTGTCCTGCTTCACGGACCTTCCCGAGGTGTGCAGAGTTCTATATAGGATGCTGGATTAGTTCCTTTGATATTTGTAAAAATTCCCCCAAGAGCTACATATGAATCTGCCCTTTAATAAAGCATTATTGAGATTGCTGGCCTATCGGGGAAGCCTGCGGGCACGGGAGCAGGCGTGGAATCCAATGCTTGTAAATGAATTGAAGCGCCAGGATCACCTGCCTGGCCATGTGCACCTGGACCTAACGAGGCAGTGTATAAACTTATTCTCTAGCCCTGAGCCGCTCTGTCTTGTCTTTCCTGAGATCATCGTGTTTCTCTGAGGATGCGCCTTGCCTATGGCCCGGCCCCACGTGGTGCCTGGTGTCCGGGGGCAGCCTTGTGCCCTGTGACAGCACTGTCCCATCTGTTTGTTGCTAAGTCCTTGTACAAGGCCAACCTGGTTCAAGGTGTGGTTTTCTCCCCACGAGCTTCTGCCTGGCAGTCCCTCCTGCCCTGGGTTGGGAGGTTAGGAGGGGGTGTTCGTGACCTGCTGGGGTCACCTTTCTCAACCCAGAGCTGCCAGGAGTGGAGTTTGGCTTCTAGTCTGAGGCTTTGTGAGAATCCATCCCTAGGTCAGGTGCATGTCTTTCTAGTGCTGGAGCTAGGAGGTGACCTACCCGCTCCTGGGGGCGGGGGCTTTATCCCCGTCGTCCCCGAGGGAGGAGAGGTGACAGCTGCTGTGGTATTGAGCGGCCCAGAGCACACATAGCCACAGGGAGGGTCACCCTCGCCAGCCCTGCTTCTCCCGGCCACACCCTGCCTTAAGTCTAAGCTTCCGTTAAGGGGACCCTGTGTGGGGAAGGTGTTGGCTACCGCCTTCCTCCTGGGAAGCAGGGTTCGGCTGTGCACGAAGCAGAGGCTCCCCCCGTGCATGCCTCTGGCGAGCTTTACAGGGGCTCCTGACAATCCGGAGTTGCATTCTGGGGCCAGCAGGGGATGCAGGACTGGAGGGACAGCCTCTGTTCTCAACGAGCCGGGTGCCTACACCAGCTGGGGTGGTGCCGGTTCCTTGGCCAGGGCAGCAAACAAGATACCAGATGCCTGCCCAGACAGCCCACGGGTCGGGGCGACAGGAAAGCAAGCAGCTGCTGGTGGCCCAAGTTGTGACAGAAAGGCATGTTGGGGGCTCCTCCCAAGCTCTCTGTGAGAGTGGAATACTGCAGTCACACTGGGGACTTGAGGCTGCACGTCTGTCCATCACTTGGCTGACAGCGGTCAGAGGACCGGAGACCTGAGCCCTGTCAGGGGACCCTCAGGGGGACCCACAGCACTGGGCCAGCTAGGGGTGAGGCAGGGACCGATGCAAGGTCAGGGGTATGAGCACAGGCCCTGGCCACCTCCCCCTGGTGCAGACCTGCATCAAGTCAGCAGTGGAGCCGGGCACACGTGTCCCCTGGGGCTGCCGGACCACAAACCTGGTGGCTTAAAGCAACTGTCACCATCTCACAGCTCTGAGGTCAGAACGTATGCATGCCTCGCCAGGCTAACATCAAGCTGTGGACGGGGCCAGGCCCTCCTGGAAGCTTTCCCAGTGCTCAGAGGCACCGCATCCCTTGGCTTGGGGGCCCTTCCTCCACCTTTACAGCCATGGCGCAGCCTCTTTAAGTCTCTCTCTGACTCACCCTTCCACCACCTCTCGTGAGGACTGTGTTGGGGACACTGTTCCCCGGACCACCCAGGACCATCTCCCAGCTCAAGATCGTTCATCATACCCACGAACTGTCTTCAGGATACTTTGTCCCACTAGCCACGGTGAAGCCAGCCTGTGACAGCACTCACCTCCCAGGCTGAGGGAGGCACGCAGGGACTGGGCCTTTGTGGGCACAGCACAGCCTCCGCTATCCCACAGAACTTCCTCCCCAGGCAGGGGAGGCTCGGCAGGCACTTGTGGCCAGGAACTGGCCGGAGAGCAGGTTTCTGCCTGGTGCTGCCTTGGCAGGGAGCCACACCCAGCCCCCATGTGTTGTCTGCTCCGCATCAGCTGAGCCTGGCCTGTGTCCCATGGTTTGAACAGAGCACCAGGAAACCATATTCAAACACCCTGTTTATTTGGGTTCATAATTTAGTAACTGCAGGTCTGTGCTGGAAGGCCAGTGTCCCCTCCTGCTGTCGTCACCCACATCCACAGACCAGCCCCAGCGTCGGGTGCAGCTGCTGCCACCCATGGCACACGGGAACAGGACCTATGCCATGGACCTGCTCTACTGTCCAGGGAGATGCTCGTATGTCTGCCCAGGGGCTTCAGGACACAGTTACTGCAGCTAGGGAGGGCTTCGATTTGGTGGTGTCCCCAGGCCTCTCCCTTGGGGGCTGGGAGGCTCTGCCATGGGGCCTGGTTCCATGGCTCCACAGCCGGCCGACACCTTTCCCTTGCCCATGGGGAAGAGCAAGTCTTTCCAGAGGTGGCTTGGAGGCCCTGGGGCGGTAGGGACAGGGACAGGGAGAGCATGAGACAGACCCACAGGGCTGAGGCCAACCCTGCTTTTATTTCACGAGAGCTTCTCGATAGCTGACAGGAGGTCAGGTTTCAGGATGGAGTCTGGCTCGGCCCCGGCGGCCTTGATGTCCTCCAGCACGGCCAAGTCCCACGAGAAGGTCAGGAGGGCAGAGGGCACCTGCAGTTGGGGCAGGCCGTCACTGTCTCTGTGTGGCAGCATGGTGGAAAGACAGAGCCAAGCACAGTCGGCCCTTCCCACAGCAGGGACCTCAGCGGGCAACCTGGGCTCAGGGATGCCTCAGGTTGTGAGGCGCTGTGGCTCGCACCCAGGCCTCCTGCCCTCTGTCCCTCGGGACTCCCAGGAGATAAACCTAAATCTACTGCACCAGCTAACATGTGTCACCCCTCCCATTTTACAGGTGGGAAACTGAGGCATGTAGTAGTTATGGACTTACTCAAGGCCATGCTGCCAGTAAGTGGGAAGGTGAGATTCAAACCCAAGGACCTGCTCAGGTCCTCTGCCCTGAGAACAAGGAGCCTCCCCCCTGGGGGTCTGTGCTGGTTCCAGGAGAACCCGCGGAGGCATGGGGTCAGCAGCACTCCTGGGGGCCGACACTCACCAGCCCGCACTCGTTCAAGGCCGGATTCTCGTCCTCTGACAGCTTCTGCCCTCCAGAGGCCAGCAGCTCAAAAGGCAGCCAGTCATGCTGCAGGGCCTCCCGGACGAAACCGTACACTGCCTCCAGCCGCTCCCGGGCGTAGAAGGTCCCTGGGGATCAGGAGAGTGACAGCGGGTCAGGCCCAGGGACCCCTGCCAATCCGAGCCGCCCTCCCCGGGCATCACCGGTGCCCACCCTGCAGGAGGCAGCCATCGGGGAGGCGCACGCGCAGCAGCGTGTAGGTGTACTTCCGCAGCCCCCGCTGCTCCTCCTTCTCCCGCATGGCCTTGGTCCGCAGCACGCTCAGCCGCTCCACCGCATCAGACCTGGACATACAGGCTGGGTCAGGCTGGCTGGCCCGGGTTCTCCCACCCCTCCCCACCCCACCCGGCAGACACTAGGCCCACCTGAGCCTCTGCTCCCGCTTGATCTCCTCAGCCGTGAGGTTGAAGAAATCCCCAGGCAAGTCAAACTGCGAGGCCAGGGGCGAGGGCTGGAAGACCCGGCGCTGCCGGTCCAGCTTGGCACGCACAGGCTCTGCGGCCAGCAGCTGCTCCTTGTGCCTCTCCAGGCTCTGGGTCTGGGCCAGGGTGGCGTCACTCAGCACATAGAACTCCTCAGGGTCATCTACAGTGTAGCAGGATATGGATGTCACTCTGTGCAGCAGGGAGACCCCAAGCCAGGCCCTCCTGCCCCGAAGCCCCTCGCCCCCATTCCCACTCAGCCAGACCCTGTCCGCTTACCCTGATCTGGGACGGGAAGCATCACCTTCTGGAACCCAATGGCCTCAAAAAACTCGTGGGTCCCTTCCAGGCAGTTAATGCGCTCCTGGGGGTGGAGATGGGGGTCACTGTGGTCCCCTGGCTTCCTCCATGGCCTGGCCACTCCCCACCCAGTCCAGGGGCCCGGCTCTCGCTACTGGGGGCGGCTGCTGACCCCTGGATGGCTGTCTCAGTGCTGCTGCAAACCTGCTTTTCTAAGGTGGAGACTGCGGAGTTTCCATCAGTTCCACACAGAGGGAAAAGTCACAACTGTGCACGAAGAGCGAGGCTGAGGAGCCTGGTACTGCGAGGGCCAGATGCGAGGCTAACACAGGCCAGGGCTGCCAGACCCTGCCACTTACCCGGAAGAGCCACACATCTGTGTTTGCATGAAAAGCCTCCCCAGGGCCGCCGTGTTCCCAAATTAGCCCAACTGAAGAAGAGGAAAAGGACATGGGCGAGCAGAGGCAGAATCTGTTGATTTGGGGTGACTGGTGCATCAAACTCTCGCTCCCTGCCCTGTCCTGCTACCCTCTACCGGCCAAACCCTTCACTACTGGTGGCTCGACTCTTGCTGGCCCCTCCAGGGAGACCACGGCCCAGCGTGGGCCACCACCAGCTCCTGCAGGCTGGCCACCCCCACCCCTAGCCTGGGCCTGGCGAGCAGGAGGCACGCCCACCTGGAACACTTTGTTCTGCAGCTTGATCTTCCGGTACTTCTCCTCCTCGGGGTGCAGGTGGATGTTGTCCAGGTACCTGTGGGTAGGCGGAGGGGTTAGCGGGGCATGGCCCAGCCTGCCTGGCAGCTCAACCACACTGGCCCCGAGTCAGGGGGAAGAAGAGGTCAAGTGACCCCAGAGAGGGAGGCCATCTCTGGGGTGGGAGGCATACCTTGGACACCCCTTGGAGGCCACCCCTAGTGCCAGCAAGAGCCCCAAGGAACCCCTCACTGTCCCACCAACCCAGGAGGACACCAGTTAACCAGAGTGGTGGGGGAGCCACAGAGCTGTCAGAGCGGAGAGCCAGAGCTGGGGAGCCATAGCGTCAGCAGTGGGGCTCCTGTGGGGTGCTCCCTCGGAGCCAGCAGGCAGCGTGGACTTGCAGGCCTGCGTGGATGCTGAGAGTGGAGTGGGACCCTGTGTCCTCTACATGCTCCCCATGTGATCCACGGAAGCCAGTGTGGGGAACCCCTGATTCCTTAAACACCTTCATTTTGCACATGGGTAAACTGAGGCCCAAAGAAGACCAGCTCTTTCCCCGAAGGCATTGGGTACAGCTGCCTCACTCTTGGCCTGTGTTCCTTCCTGGCCCACCTCAGCAGGTCACAAGGGGGCCAGAGTGGGTGACAGCCCAGTGGGAGGGGGGCTGTGGTGAGCTGGAGAGCCAGGCAGGGCAAAGGGGCCGTGTGCTCACTTGGCGATGGTGTCCACGCCCAGCTTCACCCGGTCCCGGTCTTTGTTGAACGTGTGGATCTTCATGATGGAGGCGGCCACTGGGTCAGTGGAGAAGCGCTGGGAGGAGGGAAGCAGGGAAAGCAGCTCAGACAGCCCGGACCACACGGCCCTCGGCTGCCCGGGTGAAGGTGTTTAAGGGAGAGCAGCGGTGTGGAGCAGCCCCAGCTGTGCGCTCATCACAGCAAGGAAGAGACCCTTGAAGACCCTGGTCCTGCCCGAACCCCAGGGCAGAGGCGACACAGGCAGGATGGAGCAGAACTCAAGGCTGCCCTTCCGCCTTCTCCAGGCTAGATCCAGGGGCCTCGGTGGCCAGTGGGACCTCGCAGAACTGTGCCTCACATTCTGGCTTGTTTTTTTTTGAGATGGAGTCTCACTGTCGCCAGGCTGGAGTGCAGTGACATGATCTTGGCTCACTGCAACCTCCGCCTCATGGGTTCAAGTGATTCTCCTGCCTCAGCCTCCCGAGTAGCTGGGACTACAGGCGCGCGCACCACTCACTGACAGAATGGCCTCCTTGATGCAGGTGTCCCGCTGGTCCTTCCTCAGGGTGGCCCCGGTGAGCGGACAGGTGAAGTAGACGCCGGGCACGGCCAGGTGGGCAGAGCCTTCCTCTCTGGGCTGAGATACCTGGGGCGGTGAAAGTGTCCGTGTCTGACTGGGGACAGAGGCCACCCCGACCCCCACCGAGTGCCACAGTTGTGAGTGTGGGCCATACAGCCATACATCTCTAGTCCTCACGCTGTCCCTTCCACTTGGAGGCCATGGGAGACACCCTGGCCAAGTGACTGAATCCCTGAGTCTGTCCCCTGATATGTCAAATGTCCCTGTGGGGTCTGCTCAGAACCAAACAAAGTAAAGAACAGACAGCACAGAGCAGCTTCTGACACACAGAAGCACTTAACAGATGGCAGCTGGGCTCCTGCTGGTCCTGTCCCCAAGCTGGTGAGGAAGGGGCTCTGTGTGGGAGTCCATGGGCACAGCGCCCTGGACGAGGCCTGGCTTCTGAGCCTCCATTTCTAGGCCATCTTCGAAAATTCACTGAATCCTCGAAGGTCAAGCTGCTTAGAACTCCTTTCAGTGGAGCTCTCAAGGCCCACCTCCTTCCTACAAGCAGGCCTTCCTGATTACACCCATCTCCACAGGGCCCCTTGACCTGCAAGGCAGGCAGTAGAGGGCAGCACTAGGGTACGGCCTCTGAAGTCACAGACTGGTTCTGGTCTTGGTCCTGCCTTTGCTGGTTTTGAGGTGTAGGAGAAGACAGCTGCTTTCACCTTTCTCAACCCCTGTTCTCTTTCTGAAAAGTGGGAACTGTAACTGGATGCACCCTTAAGGGGTTAACGGGAGGGACCGCTGGGCTACTGCTCACGAGGTCCACTTCTCCAGGCCTGAGCTGGGAAGCCTCAGCGCGAGCCCTGAAGGTCCTGCAAAGCACCGTGTTCCACCACAACCCGCCTCCGCCTGTCAAGGCGAGGTTTCCCAACTGTCCCAGAGCCCCAAGGGCAGAGGCCACATCTCCCGTGTGACAGAGTCAAGCTGTCCCCACCCCTGGGCATGGGACACTGCCACCAGTGGCTGTTCTTACCATGTTGGTCCCTGGGGCCTCCAGACTCCCGCTGACGGTGGCTTCGGCTTGAAGTTCCTTTCTCACTGGAAGGCAAGCCGAGGAGGGAGAGGCAGGAATGGGAGGGTGTGCAGGCCTCTCCCCTGGCCCAAGCCCCCTTATTCCTGGGGTGGCCTGTGAGCCAAGCATACTTGTCCCGGGCCCCTGCGGGGCTTGGTCTGCACCCACCCCTCGGCCTGAGCCAGCACCCCACTGCCTGGGCAGCCCTTGTTTCTGCTGCCAGTCTCTGCTCCTCCCGCCTTGGAGGCCACCCTTCCCCTGCCCTCGGGGGGCCACTCCCAAGGGTGACCCTCACAACCCCACAGTTGCTCATGTGACTTCTGCACCAGGGCTGAGACCCACAAACAGCATCCGCCTGGGCCTGAGGAGGACCACAGCTCACCCTGGTTTCGGATGGTGTCTTGTGATGTGGGGCCCCAGGGCCGGGACTGCTTCTGCTCCAGCCGGGCCAGGGCGGCAGCGGCTGCCATCTGTGCCTCATTGGTGGGTCCCTGGCGGGGCTGCCTGGGGGCTGGCTGGGTGGGTTTCTCTTTGAGGGCCTTTTCCCTGGGGGCAGACCGAGGGAGAGTGAGTGTATCCTGGCTAATTTTTCTTCTTTTGAGACGGAGTTTCGCTCTTGTTGCCCAGGCTGGAGTGCAGTGGTACGATCTCAGCTCACTGCAACCTCTGCCTCCCAGGTTCGAGCAATTCTTCTGCCTCAGCTTCCTGAGTAGCTGGGATTACAGGTATGCACCACCATGCCTGGCTAATTTTGTATTTATTTTTCTTTCTTTATTTTTTGAGACTGAGTCTCACTCTGTTGCCCAGGCTGGAGCACAATGGTGCGATCTCGGCTCACTGCAACCTATGCCTTCCAGGTTCAAGCCATTCTCTGCCTCAGCCTCCCAAGTAGCTGGGACTACAGGCACCCACCACCACACCTGGCTAATTTTTGGATTTTTAGTAAAAACGGGGTTTCACCATATTGGCCAAACTGGTCTTGAACTGCTGACCTCGTGATCCACCACCTCGGCTTCCCAAAGTGCTGAGATTACAGGTGTGAGCCACGGTACCTGGCCTAATTTTGTATTTTTAACAGAGATGGAGTTTCTCCATGTTGGTCAGACTGGTTTCAAACTCCCAACCTCAGGTGATCCGCCTGCCTCAGTCTTCCAAAGTGCTGGGATTACAGGCATGAGCCACTGCATGCAGCCCACATCCTCAGGAGTTGAGGAGACTCAAGAGCCATCACGTCCTCCCTCCCTTCCTGCCATAAGAGTCTCCACCCTCAGGTCACAGCTTCATTCGCTGAGCACCTACTGTGTGCCACGCCCCTGCTGGGAGCTGGTCAGCTGAGTTGGTTGACTCCTCCTCCTAACAAGCTGTCAGGGAGGCCTCACCATCCCCTGTTTCTAAACCCAAGAGGGTTGAAAAGTCCAGGTGATGTACCCCATGCCATGCCACCCTTGTGGCAAGACCCTGGGGTCAGCTGACAACAGAACCAGCCTTGCCCTGGCCACATGACTCCACACCAGGCTCGGGGCTGTGCAAGTACAAAGAGCTCAGGTAATCACGGCCCTGCGCTACGAAGCCCTACGCCAAAGAGGATTCCATAATCCACTTAGCACAGTGACCTGGCAGAGCAGCCCTTTCTCCCAATCTGCTGGGATGTGTGTCTCGCCCTTCTCCTCTCAGGCCCCTCCCGTGAATGCAGGAGCTGTCACTTTCCATGCTATAGATCTACAAAAACTTCTGGGAGACGAGGCTCTCAGTTCAAGCCCTGCATTCCTCTGGCTCTGCTCAGATTCCCAGGAAGCCCTCCCTCCTCGTCTGGAGGCTTCCAGAACCTGCTTTGTGCCCACCCCTGCCTATCCAGTCCTCCCACAGCTGAGCATATTGGGTGGAAGAGGAGATGACTCATGAAGACCTGCCCTGGCCCCATCCCATATCTAGGTCTTTCCAACAAAACAGCATTTCCTGGGGTACCTCACCCCAACCATTTGTGGGCCCTGCTCCCCTGGGCAGTCACAGGGACTCTTCTGGAACCTCATTCAGGGAGCGTCAGCGCTACTCCACTGCACGACGTCCTCCCACTGCAAAATCCCAAAGCCTCCCTCAACCCAGAGAGCCCTTCCCAGCCTGACCCCATCTCCCCGGGCTCCCTGCCGTTCTTCCCACACCCCAACGGCTCCCCATTGTGCGGCCCTGCACTGTCTGCGCCTTCTGCCCAGAATGTTCTCCTGGCGGTGGGAGGAGGGCAGGGGTTCTGGAAAGGGCTAGGGCTACCGCAGGGAGAGAAGGAGGGGGCTGATTGCCTCACGGCTGAAGTCTCGCTGTCCTGGCAGAGGCCTTCCCGGACCACCTGGCGGTCCCTGCTCACCCTATTTCGAGGCCCCGGGCACTGCCTGAGTTCTCATCCCAGGCGTGTTGGTTTATTCGTCTATCAGCTCCCACTAGGCGGTGAGCCCTGGGAAAGCAGTGGCCTTGTCCTGTCTGCCACTGCAACCCAAAACAGGACTTGGTGCCCACCCGTGCCACACACCCTGGATATCCAGTATCACTCCAAAAGGGACCTCTGCACGCCTTTTCTTCCCGCCCCTCCCGTCCCCTATCTTCCCCTCTATGCCTAGGCTCTGGGCCGATCCAGCCATCGCCCCCACACCCCTGGATCCTTCCTGTCACGCCCAGTCCCAGTGGCTCCAGTACCCCGTTCACCCACTATTGGTTGAATCAATGAAGAGCTCCCCCCATTTGTCCACCTCTCTTCCTGACCTCTCTGTCCCTGACCCCTCTCCCTCCTTTGCTTTCCTGCTCAGCCTCTCACCCAGGAACCCTCACGTCCTCACTATGGCCCTCCCTCCATCACCACCCCACTGCCTGTGATTCCCTGACCCGAACTTCCTGCCACCTCCCTGCATCTCCTCCTACCCCTTCCCAGCCCCCACCTCTTCACAATCCCTTCCATTATTGCTTATAGACCCCTGCCCTGACAGCCTGGCTGACCTCCTTCCCCTTCACTCTCCATCGGTCCCCACCACTCCCTGGCCAGCCAGCTCCCTGCAGCGGCCCCAGCTCTCCAGCTTCGCTATTCTCAACCCAGCAGCCCTCAGCCTCACACTGTTTCCGGTTCCATCTCTTCCCAGACCTTCCATGCACCCTGCCAGCTGGCTTAGCCCTGCCCAGGCCCTTCTCTTGAAGTCTTCCCTAGACAATCCAGAAGTCGGCCTGGCAGCTACCTCCTTTCCCTCCCCTCCCACCACCATCTGTCGGAGTCCCTCACCTCCACTCTCCTCGCACACCTTCCTCAGCCCTTCCCTCCCAATTTGCAGGGACCTCCTGGGTCACTGACGACTCTGCCCACCACCACTTCCCTGGCCTTCCAGACTTCCTAGTGTCTCCTCAACCTCCCACGTGCTCCAGATCCCAAGCCCACATCCCCTCTTCCCATGGATGCCTCACAATTACTCTCCACCACCCCATCCCACAGTTGTGTGTCCTCCTCCAAGCTCAGCTCCCATCCCTGGTCACCCAGATTCCCCCAAATCATCCGGGCCGCTTCAGAACCAGCCGGGTCCCCAGACCTCTCCCTCACCACCCGCCTCCGGACTCATCATCCCTTTTTTCCCCCAGGGTCGTTCCACTGACTCCCAACTTGCTGCAGCCCCGTCGCCCTAGAACCCCGCCATAGCCTACGAGGCCCGGCCACCGAGATCTACCCTCCCGGCCCCTGCCCCGCCCCCTGAGCAAGTTCCCCTCTGCCCGCCCCTTCGCCGGGTCCCTCCCACACGCCCTCCTGCCCCGCCCCCAGATCTTTCTCCCCTCCCCCTGACGCCCACCCTAGGCCCCACTTGCCCCGCCCCCGGCACCTCTCCCCTTTCCCTCATTCGCCGCCGCTCCCAGCCCCTCGCCCTCCGCCCTCCGATCTCCCGCGCACCTCGAGGCCCCAGACCTCTCTCCCCGGCCGTCCCCGCCCCTCAGGGCCTCAAGCTCCAGCGATCCTCACTCACCCCACGGAGTCCGTGAGCTTCTGACCGGGTCCCGCGCTCTTGAACTTGATGTCGGCCTTGAACTCCTGAAAGAATTTCTTCATGGTGGCGGCTGGCCCGGCGGCGGGGGGCCGCAGGGGCGGGGGGCACGGGGCCCAGTCGGGAAGGGGCCGCCCAGGACCAACCACCGGAAAGAAAATACCGGCCCGCCGGAAGTCCCGCCTTTCCGCCACCGGCCACGTGACAATCAGCCCGGAGTGCAGCTCTACCGCTCGGTGCGTCGCGGGCCCGGGGCGGCCACTCTACGCTGGAGCCGCGTCTCTGTGGTTTTTCCGGACTCCGTTGCCAGGGCGACGAGCGCGCTTCTAGATTGGCGACAGTGCCTTGCCTAGCGCCTTCCGTGGCGCTCCCCAAATGGTGACAAACGTTGATGGGAGAGGGACAGGCCGACTGAACTTCGCAGAGAAAGTACTGGGCCCTGTCCTGTTCGCTGCTCAGCCTAAGCTGGGCTCGGCGGCTTACGCCTGCAATCCCAGCACTTTTCGGAGAATCAGGTGGGAGGATTGCTTGACTGAAGTTGGAGACCACCCTGGGCAACATGGCAAAACCATGTTTTCTATTTAAAAAAATTATAAATTATTGCCGGGCGCGACGGCTCACGCCTGTAATTCCAGCATTTTGGGAGGCCAAGGCGGTCGGATCACCTGAGGTCGGGAGCTCGAGACCAGCCTGACCAACATGGAGAAACCCCGTCTCTACCAAAAATACAAAATTAGCGGGTCGTGGTGGCGCATGCCTGTAATCCCAGCTATTTGGGAGGATGAAGCAAGGAGAATCCCTTGAACCCGGAAGTTGGAGGTTGTGGTGAGCTGAGATCAAGCCATTGCGCTCCAGCCTGGGCAACAAAAGCAAAACTTGGTCTCAAAAAAAAATAATAAATATAAATAAATGAATAAATAAATTAGGTGAGAGTTGTGGCCTGTACCTGTATAGCCTCAGCTATTTGGAAGGCTGAGGCGGGAGGATGGCTTGAACCCAGGAGGTCCAGGCTGTATCAGCTGTGATGAAGCCACTGCATTCCACCTTGGGCCACAGAGAGAGATCCTGTCTAAAACAAAACAAACACAAAACCAGCCTTCCCTGTCTGCTCAGAGCTTATGTGGTAAAGCCCCAGTTCAATGTGGGGCATTGGAGGCCACCACGATCTGGCCCTGTTTTGGCCCCTGATTGCCCCCCCTTCCCCACCCCCCGCCCCCAGCCCATGCTTCTTATGTAGGAGCTGTTGAATACGATGCACTTGACTGGGACATGGGAATCCACTTTGGCGGGCAAGGCAGAAGGAAACCAGTTAATAGTGGCATAGTTTGGGCTGTGCAATCTGCAAAGAAAGATAAAATGACAGTTAAAACAAGCCTCAAAAAAAGGGAATTGGGGGTCAGTTGCAGTGGCTCACGCCTGTAATCCTAACATTTTGGGAGGCCAAGTCCGGCAGATCATTTGAGGTCAGGAGGTCAAGCCCAGCCTGGCCATCATGGTGAAATCCCGTCTCTACGGGCACCAGTAATCCCAGCTGCTCAGGAGGCTGAGGCAGGAGAATCACTTGAACCTGGGAGGGAGAAGCGGTAGTGAGCCAAGATCTCAGCACTGCACTCCAGCCTGGTGACAGAGCGAGACTCCGTCACACACACACACACACACACACACAATATTTCAGTAAAAGGCAGATGTCATAATTATTTTCTCCTTTAATGTTTCTTCAGAGTCAGCTCTGTACCTGCAACGAGGAAACAGACAAACTTCCTTCACCTCATAGGGCTCATACTCATCAGTTTCTGGGGGGAGGTTGGGTGAAAACGAAATATAATCAATAAAGGAAATCTGTGATAGGGCAGATGGCATTATAGAAAGAGCAGTTTGCAACATCAAAGGTGTCAGGAACAGTAAGAGGACATTTTTGAGACCACCAGGGAAATGTCACTATGTCTGGACATTACATGATATAAAGGAGCTATTCTTAATTTTGTTAGTGGTGATAATGGTATGGTAGTTACTTCTTTTTTTTTTTTTTTTTTCAAGATAGTGTCTCACTCTGTCACCGAGGCTGGAACGGGGTGGCACAATCTTGGCTCACTGCAACCTCTGCCTCCCGGGTTCAAGCAAGTCTTCTGCCTCAGGCACCTGAGTAGCTGGGACTACAGGCACCATGCCATGACGCCCAGTTAAATTTTTGTATTTTTAGTAGAGATGGGGTTTCACTGTGTTAGCAAGGATGGTCTCGATCTCCTGACCTCATGATCTGCCCGCCTTGGCCTCTCAAAGTGCTGGGATTACAGATGTGAGCCATCGTGCCTGGAAGGTAGTTATGTTTAAAAATACACTTTTTGGCCTGGCGTGTTGGCTCATGCCCGTAATCCCAGCACTTTGGGAGGCCGAGGCGGGCAGATCACGAGGTCAAGAGATTGAGACCATCCTGTCCAAGATGGTGAAACCGCGTCTCTACTAAAATTACAAAATTAGCTGGGTGTGGTAGCATACATCTGTAATCCCAGCTACTCGGGAGGCTGAGGCAGGAGAATCACTTGAGCCCAGAAGGCAGAGGTTGCAGTGAGCCGAGATCGAGCCACTGCACTCCAGCCCTGTGACAGGGCAAAATTCTGTCTCGAAAAATAATGATATATTTTTTGTTTTGGTTGGCTGTGGTGGCTCACGCTGTAATCCCAGCTCTTTGGGAGGCTGATGCGAAAGGATTGTTTGAGTCTAGGACTTCAGGACCAGCCCTGACACCATAGTGAGACTGCCATCTCTGAAAAAAAAAGAAAAAAGAGAAAAGGGCTGGCTGTGGTGGCTCATGCCTGTAATCCCAGCACTTTGGGATGCTAAAGTAGGCGGATCACTTGAGGTCAGGAGTTCAAGATCAATTTGGCCAACATGATGAACCCGGTCTCTACTAAAAAAACAAAACTTAGTCGGGCGTGGTGGCAGGCGCCTGTAATCCCAGCTACTCAGAAGGCTGACGCAGGAGAATTGCTTGAAATGGGGAGTGGGAGTTTGCAGTGAGCCAAGATCCTGCCGCTGTACTCCAGCCTGGCAGCAGAGTGAGACTCCACCTTAAAAAAAAAAAAAATTGTAGTGATGGGGTCTCACTAGGTTGCCCAGGCTGGTGTAGATCTCAAGTGATCTTCCCACCTCAGCCTCCCGAAGCCGACACAGTGAAATCCAGGATGACAGGCGTGAGCCACCTTGCCCAGCCAGTGTAAAGGTGTTGGAACTGTAAATTATTATTTTTTTTAATATATGGAGTTTTTGCTCCTCTTACCCAGGCTGGAGTGCAATGGTGCTATCTCAGCTCACTGCAACCTCTGCTTCCTGGGTTCAAGCAATTCTCCTGCCTCAGCCTCCTGAATAGCTGGGATCGCAGGCCTGCTTCACCGTGCTTGGCTAATTTTTTGTATTTTTAGTAGAGATGGGGGTCTCATCATGTTGGACAGGCTAGTCTTGAACTCCTGACCTCAGGTAATCCGCCTCCCTTGGCCTTCCAAAGTTCTGGAATGACAGGCATGAGCCACTGTGCTCTGGCAAAAAATAATTATTATATATATGTATATGTTTTTTTTTTTTAGATGGAGTCTTCCTCTGTTTCCCAGGCTGGAGTGTGGTGGCACAATCTTGGCTCACTGCAACCTCTGCCTCTTGGGTTCAAGAGATTCTCCTGCCTCAGCCTCCCCGAGTAGCTGGGATTACAGGCACGTGCTACCATGCCCACCTATATTTTTTTTGTATTTTTATTAGAGACGAGGTTTCACCATGCTGGCCAGGCTGGTCTTGAACTCTTAACCTCAGTGATCTGCCCACGTCGACCTCCCAAAGTGCTGGGATTACAGGCATTAGCCACAGATCCCGGCCAAAAGAAAATTTGCTTTCTTTTGAGACGGGAGTCTCACTCTGTTGCCCAGGCTGTAGTGCAGTGGTGTGATCTCAGCTCACTATAACCTCTGCCTCTTGGGTTCAATAGATTCTCCTACCTCAGCCTCCTGAGTAGCTGGAATTACAGGCATGCCCAGCGAATTTTTGTATTTTTTTTTTTTTTTGAGACGGAGTTTCACTCTTGTTACCCAGGCTGGAGTGCAATGGCGCGATCTCGACTCACCGCAACCTCCACCTCCTGGGTTCAGGCAATTCTCCTGCCTCAGCCTCCTGAGTAGCTGGGATTACAGGCACGCACTACCATGCCCAGCTAATTTTTTGTATTTTTAGTAGAGACGGGGTTTCACCATGTTGACCAGGATGGTCTCGATCTCTTGACCTCGTGATCCACCCGCCTCGGCCTCCCAAAGTGCTGGGATTACAGGCTTGAGCCACCGCGCCTGGCCGAATTTTTGTATTTTTAGTAAGCCTGGAGTTTTGTGATGTTGGTCAGGCTGGTCTCAAACTCCTGAGCCCCTGATCTGCCCACCTTGGCCTCCCAAAGTGCTGGGATTACAGGCGTGAGCCACCGCACCCAGCCAAAAAATTTTTTATAAAGATACAGTCTTGGCCAGGCACGGTGGCTCACGCCTGTAATCCTAGCACTTTGGGAGGCCAAGGTGGGTGGATAACCTGAGGTCAGGAGTTCAAGACCAGCCTGGCCATCATGGCGAAATCCCATCTTTTAAAAAAATAAGAAAGAAAGAAAGAAAAAAAAAAGATGCCGTCTTCCTATGTTGCCCACGATGGAGCACAACTGCAGTGGCCATTCACAGGCACAATCACGGGTCACTGCAGCCTGAAACTCCCAGGCTCAAGTCATCCTCCCACCTCAGCCTCCCAAGTAGCTGGGACTACAGGCATGAATCACTGCACCTGAGTTAACCTTTTTTTTTTTTTTTTTTTTTTTTAAGACGGAGTCTCACTCTGTCAACAGGTTGGAGTGCAGTGGCAGGATCTCAGCTCACTGCAGCCTCTGCCTCCTGGGTTCAAGCAATTCTCCTGCCTCAACCTCCGGAGTAGCTGGGATTACAGGCACCTGCCACCATGCCCAGCTAATTTCTTTTGTATTTTTAGTAGAGATGGGGTTTTGCCATATTAGCCAGGCTGGTCTCCAACTTCTGACTTTGTGATCCACCCGCCCCCCGCCTCCCAAAGTGTTGGGATTGCAGGTGTGAGCCACCGTGCCCAGCCACTTAACATTTTTAAGTGTACGGTTCAGAGACATCAAATATATTCACATTGTTGCGCCACCA